AATAAAAGGCTACGCCATTTTTTTTTATTTTGCTGGAAAATCACACGTTAAGCTTCAATTATTTTTGAAAAAAAAAACTCGTATTGACTGTTATTTTGAACATGTATTGTATAAATATAATATAATACTTCTCATTTTATGTAATAAAGCCTGTATTAATAATAAATGTCATATACTCATCATATATTCTAGGAATAAATGGATAAAGTTTTTCAATATGAAAGTAGATTCGGATACATAAAAGTATATATATAATTTTTTTTCGGTTTTTTATTAGGACTAATAGAAATGTTAAAATATTTATCACATTTCTCGTTATAACTCTTTATACTGATGAAAAATCATGTTTTAAAATTTTTGAATATAAAGAAAATAAGAAAATTATTATTAATATTATTGGTAGATTATAGGCCGAGAAAGCCAAATATAATCAATCCTGGAAGATTTGGGAACATTATTATGAGTATAAAAATGTGTGGGTAAAGGTTTGTCGGTAAGAGGGTCACTGGCGAAACAATCAATGAAATCCTGATTGTGAAGGAATCTCAATAATTGATGATTAATTACATGTGAGGATCCCATGGTGCCAAATTGGTCGTTGAAGTCACCAAGTAAACCGACTTCAATTTTGTCTTTCCGGGCAGTTAAGTCGGTTAAGAAGTTCTGTTTGAGTATTAAGAAATTCGTCTTATTTTCAAGAGAGTATGGCGGTAGGTGACAATTATCCTCCATTTAAGTGAGGTATTGTACAAATCGATAGAGATTGCGACAGTTCCATGGGTCGACGTTTTGGACATAGCGGGCTAAAGAATTGTCCACAATAAGACTGACACCTGCAGAAACATGCGAAGTAGGGGTGCGGACCACCAGGAGGAGAAATGGTAAGTGGATTTTTCGGATTTGTATAAATGTTTAGCAGCAGGAGCAGAAAGTTTCGATTAGGTAATAGCTAAAAGAGAGAGATGATTGAACAGGTAATAGTTAAGTAAAGATTGTTGTTTGACTGAATTATTAAGACCCGAACATTCCAATGAGCGAAATTAAGTAGATCTGTAGGGGAAGAAGGGTGAAAAACAGGAGGATTATAATTATGTAAATCAAATTCGTTATTATTGCCCATCATAACTGCACCATGATGAGATTAAAAACAGGAAAGAATAGTTAGGTCCTTTTCAGGCAGAATCTTTAAATAATTCAAAACTTACAAAAACTCCACTAAAATATTGGCGAACTGTCCTACTTCAAGCACCAAATTTGGCAGAATTTGCATGTAGACTTTTCTCAATCCCACCAAACTCAGCAACTTCGGAAAGGGTGTGGTCACTTATGGGTAATATACTGTACATACAGATCGCCGTAACCGCTTATCATCAATAAGACCCGCCAAATGACACGAATAACATGGTATATGAAAGAAAAATCTTTTATCAATAAGTCTAAAAAAACCAAAGGCTCTTTGAATATTTATAATGAATTAAATGATGATATTAATGATGATGATGTATCAGACGAAGATAATATGGATGTGGATGAACTTATCACTTATGAATGATTTAGGTGAAATATCAGTGAGAATAATTGATGATATTAATATTTTTGAATCCAATAATAATTCAGAGCCTCCCACTTTACTTGAAATCTTTAACCCACAATTAATTGAAACGGCAATAGTTAAGGGAATTGACTTCATATTGTAATTTGTAAAAAAATAAAATTTAAACAATAAATTTTTTTGTCAACTTTGTGCGTTAAAAAAAAGAGGTCATGCGATCTTCTTAAAATTGACCAATCAGGATTTTTAGAATTAATAATTCAATTATTAACTTAATAAGTACTTATTAATTAAAAAAGATTCAAAATAATTTTTAAGTCCCATCACTAAATATCACAGTACTGGCCTTAATCCAACCTAAAAGGTTAAAGAATGAAGAAAAAATTAGTAAAAAATAATTATGAAAAAAAATCAGGTTAAAAATAAAAATCGGAAAAAAAGGCACTTACCGTAGCTACGTCAACTATGTTAGCGCCACAGCATCGATCCAAATCTAAAGGGTGAAAGCGATGAGCATCTTATTTTACGGTTTTCCAGATAGGCAGAAGGATGAAAAAATTATAAACGTTTTGAAAAGCTTAGGTTTAGTTAGATATATTGGCTAAAAAACAATTCAAATACAAATCAGTCAAAGCGGTGATATATTTAAGTAACGATCAGTTGAATATAGATGGTATAACATATCATTTCCGATACGGCATATAAATACGATAAGAAATTATCAGAAACGGAGATTTTATAAAATACAGTATATGCACCATAAGTGATTCTACGCGAAATATTAAAGGGCAAAGAGCTTTCTACGCATTACTTTAAAGACGAAGATACATTAGCTATACGAATAGCGTTAACAAGGAAAAGTAGAAGAGGGTTGAGTAATACTTCGAAAAGAAAAAATTTTTAAATTTTATAAAATAATTTGAGAGATTTTGGGTTAATTAGGGTTAGGATTAGAGTATGGGGATTAGGGGATTAGGATTACTATAAAGAAAAAAATTTTTACAGTAATAATATTATTTGATGTCGGTAATTTGAATGTCGATTATTTGACTGTCGGTATCAGTAATTCGACTGTCAATAATTTGACCAGACCCAGTTCTGGATCACTAATCATTAAGAAAGTCTTTCACTACGCTCCAATACCTATCTAAATAACCTCGGTAATTTGGTATCAGTAATTTGTCATGGCGTAATATGACCGGGTCCCCGCTAACATCACCTCACTAATTACCCTGCTTTTCCTTTTTTGATATCCCTTTTTTACTTGTAACACTGACAATCTCAATTTTTTTGTATCACTGATAATATTTTTGTTTTTTTCGCTATTAAAATTTATAAAATTTATTAAACAAAAACCATACATTTAAACTGTTGTCACTTAGTTAATTAATATCATAATACCGTGACGGACTTCACCGGTTTCAATGATGTTTCATTATTTTTGATATCACTATTTAAATGGGAGTCCCGACAATACTTCAGAATCACGTAACCCATTATTCCCGACATTCATTACCCGAAACTATCCTCCTAGCAATTGAAATATAATGACATAATCATATAGAAATTCTAAAAAATTATTTATTAAAATCTTTAATCAGTATATTACTGTAAAAAAATAAATAAAATTATTATATCTTTATGACTTTATGACGTAATAATTTAAATTTTTATTTTTTTTAAAAAAAAAAATCAAAATAAATAAAATTTATAAAATTTACAAAATTTTATGATTTGCATTTTTACAATAAATCATTAATATTTGCGAAGTGATTCTTAATTTTTGCGATGTATTATTAAACATTAATAAAATAATAATAATAATAATAATAAACCATTTATTTTTGCTAAAATTATTAAATATTAAAAAAAAATTATTAATTTTTACAATAGAAATTATAATTTTGCGATATTTTAAAAATTATTACATATTTATTACAAAATATTGCAATAATATTATTACGTCTATAAAAAATGTCGGGTATAATATGGTTACGGGATTCTGAAGTTTCGGGATTATGATTTGTCGGATTGTGATTTGTGAGCGTCGGGTTTGTTGTTGTAAATCTATTTAAAATATGAAATGTATTGTCCCATCCAATGTATGGAAAGGTCTATTCAAATTATAGAATTATTCAAATCCATAAATTTCAGTTAATTCTGTTTTTTGTTAACATATATGTTATTCCATAAGTCCATAAGGGATTACTGGAATGGAATTATAATTAAAAATAACAAAATCCATATTTATAATCTTTTTCATGTTGTTTCTTGGATTTATCCAATTCAAAATTCATTCGAGTCATCCGTTAGAGTTTCACAGATGATTGTATATATTAAACAGAAAAAAAAAAACATTGATACCGTATTTAACGTAGTAGCATCACATTCCCACTTCCATTCCAAACTAATAATTAATATAACGTCCTTTATGGCTCAAAAATTTGAGGGGGAGGGGAGGGAATAATTTAAACAAATCAAACATGACATTTAAACATATTAAAAATTTCAGAAATTTTCGGTAAAGTCGGAAATATTCAGTACCACTCAATTTTAGAAAAGAGAGAGGGTGCTTTAAACCGATACCCTTTAAACGGTTACGGTACATTTCGCCGAAAGCCATTTCGTCGAAAGGACGTTTCGCCGAAAAATAGGGCCAACATTATGCAGAATTATAAATAACTCAGGCCAGAGATTATTTTTCGGCGAAATGGCTTTCGGAGAAATGTCCCGATACCGTTTCTGATCACTGTGATCAAATATAAATGATATACTGCAAATCAGTACTATGGTATCTTGATTTAAATTAACCTTTCTCCCTCTATTTTAAGGTAATTTAAACACATACAGTATGTATATTCAATTTTAAAAAAGAGAAGGAGTGCTTTAAACATACTGTATGTGTTTAAATTACCTTTGAAATAGTTAATTTAAATCAAGATACCATAGTACTGATTTGCAGTATATCATTTATTTCCTAACAGGGATCAGAAACGTGCCCTCTCTCAAAAATAAGCTTTTTCAGAGAAAGAACCAATCATAGGCTCAGAAGTAAAATCAATTGCTAATCTTTTCGGATCTAGACATGTGGTGAGTAAAAAGTATCGCACACGTCTGGCGGAGTCCTCCTTTATATTTGTTTACCCTTTTTCCTTATAGAACTTCACGAGTTCTTCACGTTCCTTTGAATTATTGTTGAAAAAAATAAAAAGAAAAAAGGGTAAAACGTTATTTATTTATTTATTTATTTATTTCTAAAAGAGTAGTGAATCTAAGACATTTACAAGGGGTAAAACGTTACAATTAATGCCAAGACTTTTTATTATGATCATTTATGTCACGTGACTTAAATTTCGTTTAGTCTATTATTATAGAGATTACGCTATAATGAATTTCTGTATATATAGGCCAAAATTTTATTATAAATTGAGAGTTAGAGTCGTATGATAAAATATTAATTTACTTATAAAAAAGTAGTATTTATTAATTATGATGTTCGTACAAAATTTAGGATTTTTGATAATTTTATTATCTGTTATCAATACTTCCTATTCATATCCCGAACATAGAGTAGCGTTTAATCCACGAGGATATACTGAGGGTTTAAATAAAATATGCATTCATTGGTACGATTATCATCAAAATGAGATATCGAATGAATGTAACATACCAGTTGGAGGCTCTTCGTCAAAGACATCTCCAGTTTGGTCAATAGGATATAAACTCTCTATACATACAGAAAGTGGTACAATTCATAATGGACCATTTTTTTGGTGGGATGGCTGGGTAAATGGGATATATTGTAACGATATACATATTCATTTAAAAGATGCTGGTTTTGTTATTAAAGATTCTTTTAATATGGCTATAGTTTATGATAAATGTTTCTGGGAATAATAAATCAGATGATTGATTACTATTGGAAGAATTCACAGTAGTAATTGTATTTGTTCTAGTAATATATCCTGTAGTTGAGATAACAGAAGGTATTTTTCTTATTAAGTAGAAAAACAAATAGTTTAATTTTCTGTATAGAAATATTTGAAATCAAATCAATTATTTATATCTATTATATAAATTACCTGACTTGTTATTTGTGTTTGTGAACAGGTTATGATTTATAATCTTGTTATATGATTTATAATTTGTATTCCGACTTTATATATCTATTCCAAGAAATTTTTTCCAAACTTGTATCAACATTTTCTCAATTAGTGATATTATATCATCTACTTTACAAGTGACATAAAAAAATAAAGATAAATGAAATAATAAAGTAATGATAAAAAAAATAAAAAATAAAAAAAATGATAATATAAAAAAATGGCTAAGGCGGCCATCTGGGACTTAGTTTTCCAGAAAAAAAAAAATTTAAAATAATTTACTTTCATCAAAAGTATAGTACTAGTATAGTACTGATGGAATTTTGCGTGTTACGAAAAATTGCCAAAGATCATAAGATTCCCAGGCAAATTTGCCTGCAATTTTGTAATACATAACACAAATCATAATTCCCTGCATGAAAAATTTAAGTAAAGAGCTTCATAAACCAATTTAAAAATTTCGCATGCAAATTTGCCTGCGAGATATTTGCGATAATAATTTATTACTAATTTTGCTTATCACATAAAATTTAAATTTTCAAAATTGGATGCATTATAGATGAAGGGTTGTGCAATGTTATGCCAATTTTGCCATATTTTAATATGCTTAATATATAGTAATTTAAATTCAAAAAGTTCGCAAGCAAATTTTGCCTGCGTTACAGATGAGGGGATAATTCAAAGAAATTGTATGTTGATAAGTTAAATTTATTATTTTTAATCCAACTTTATCAATTAACCGCGTTCTGAGAATCTTCACTGCAAATGTTTAGTACAAAAAAATAATAAACCAGTGTGATAAATAAATTTATTTAAATATATTAAAGGTTTCATATAAAAAAAAAGGTTAATTTAAAATAATTACTCGAGTTTCTTAATACAGATACCGTAAGGACGTAAATTATTCCCATCGGGTGAAATCCAATATTCACCGATTCCAGTTTCTATATTTGGAATTCTAATCAAATTCTTTGGGTTAACTCTATTTTGGAACACAACCAGATATTCATCTCCTTCATAAGTAAATTTAACGGCATATTTTGATGCGACATCAATATCTGGAGTGGAATAAAATCCGTATCCAAATGGTAATGGTTTCTTACAAGAGAAATTTCCATCTCTAGCGATTGAATTACAATTATGTTGGGCAGTTCCATGATAAGATACTATTAAAAATAAATGAATTGTTTGAACTTTGAAAGAAATTGACATAGATGAGAGAAATTTACTATAAATAACAAATACCTGGCCACTCATCTTGTACCGAACTTGTTGGGAATTGTCTACTTTTATCAGCACCTAACCAAATGTTATCTTCATATTTATCAAGAACATTGATAGCAAATCTTTTCCAACCACAAGGTCGTTTGTACCTAAAATTTCCCCGCATAAAAAAAGTTTCTCCATTATCATTTACATCCGTAAAATCACGATCATATTTTGGAGCAAAATGATTAGATTGAAAGTGTAAAGCCACAATTTCATCACTGCTGTCGTCATCTCTTAATTTCAAAACTAATTGTAGTGTAGAATTATCTTGCATATCGTAATCCGTTAGAGTACGTTCATCTTCAAGTTGTTTGTCGTCAAGAACAAATCTTGTTTGATCTGGTGATACACCTTCAATTGGAATTCTCGCCTTTACTTGATCAAGTGTATCATTGAAATCTACATATAATGATACAGTTATACCTGATAATGTTTCAACGTATATATCTCCATCTCGGGGTGATGTATATACTTTACCTCCAACTAAAAAAGACTTATTATTATATTTAATACATTCCCCAATTTTTTCTTTAGAATTATCATCATAAGTAGCAATTTTATTGTTAGTAATAGCACTTAATGCTGCGGCTAAAAGTGAGTTTGACATTTTCATTATTAATGATTTTTATCGAAAACGCTTCATTTATATATACAGTACATATGGTTTTATACCTATTTTATATAATATATAATATATTAAGCTTATAATGTTCTACTTATGTTTAGGCCGTTCCAATTTAATCTTTAGTTTAACGTCCTCCCCCCCCTCTATTTTTGAAAAATTCAAGGGTGATTTAAACATATATGTTTGATATGTTTAAATATGCTTAAAAC